TCGGAAGAATCAACAGCACCAACATCCAACCACACAAACCCAATTTTTGATCTGTATCGTCGGCCCAGATATGATGAAACTATTCGAAAAGAAGAATATCGCTCCTACATCCCATACGTCAAATCCTTCAATAACAATGATATGGTGGAAATCAACATAAATCAAGCAGACACATTTTTTGCAATGCATGAGTCTTTGCTGGAAATCAAAGGAACTCTGAATGTGCAAGGAGCTGGAAATGTGTACTTGGCCCCCAACTGTGGAGCATTTCTATTCGATTCTTGCAGTTATGTGCAGAGTGCAAGAGAGATAGAAGTAGTCAGAGATCCAGGGATCGTGAGTAGTGTGCGAGGATTCATGTGCTATAAACCTGATGATTCCAAACACTTATCCACAGCCGGATGGACGTATCCTGATAAACCGCTTTTGAATGCAATTGACAAGACATTTAGTTTGTTGATACCACTAAAGCACCTGTTCAACGTTTTCAATGACTACACCTCAATCACCTATGGAAAACAAACAATCCGACTGATTCGAGCTCGTAATGATAACGATTGCGTGATAGTACAGGAACTCCCCAATGGACCTACAACCACTACTACTACAGTTGAAGTACAAATACATAGTGTAGTGCTAAAAGTGAAGCACGTATTTCCGAACGATGAAATCAAACTACAACTGATGCAACCCATCAAAAATGATACACCTATACTGATTCCATTCAGGAAATGGGACCTCAGCCAATTGCCTGCTCTTACGAACGGCGCAAAAAGTGAAATCTGGGCAGTCAAAACGAGCGCTTCGGTGGAACGTCCTCGGTACGTTATTGTGTGCTTTCAGAAATCTAAACGTGACAATGCAGAAGCTGATGCTACCCACTTTGATAACACGAGCATAGTTAGTATCAGATTAGCCCTTAATGGTGAATATTGGCCTAATGAGAGAATGCAGCTGGATTTCGCTAAACAAGACTACACCCTTGCTTACTACAACTATACCAGGTTCTATTCTAGCTATTCACATTCGACGGAGGTTCACCCAATCTTGGATTATGGGGAATTCAAACAGCATGCATTATTTGTGATTGATTGCTCGAGGCAGGAAGAGACCATGAAATCATCGACAGTTGATATAAAGCTTGAAATCGAAGCCGATAAAGGATTCCCTGCTGACACCAAAGCCTATTGCATCATCGTACATGACTGTCTGCTAGAGTACTTTCCTCTAACGGAAGTCGTCAGAACCTTGATTTGAGTATAAATACCAACTGCAAACTGCTCGAGCTCGCATTCGATCGTCAACCGTCATGAGGATCGCACTTGTCGACATTCAAGGCTTCACTCTTGACAGTGTTTTCCACCCGAAAGAGCTGACCATTCAAATTGGCCGCCAGAGATCCAACTTCCTATTCAAACCGCCTACACCGTTTGCTACCATTAGTGGACGTGACAAGAAAACTACATGTTATGTGGAGAAATTCGTTCATGGAATACCATATGATGCTGGTGATGTTGAATATACGGAGCTGAACAACATTTTGGAAAAATATCTCTTGCATTCGGTTGAATGTATGTACGTGAGGGGCAATCAGAAAGCTGACTTTTTGAAGACGAAATGTGAAGAACTTGAAGTATTTCCAACTGTATACGATGTTGCTTTGTATGATGGAACACCCTGTTCCAGTAAAACCTACCAGCAAACTATATCGTACTGCCCCAACCACGCCAATGGAAAATATATGTGTGCCCAGCGGAACGTTGATCAACTTTACCAGTGGTTTATAAATGTAATATTACCTAAATGAAGATGTACTGTGTTTGGCTCAATAAACATTATGATAAGGATGGGAGTTTTATTGAAACACCTTGCATAAGTTCCATCATTTTATTCACGATATATGTACCCAGCTTTCATTAGGCCTTTCACAATCAAAACGAACGTAGCTGCTAATGTCAAACCTAGTAATATGAACATTTTATTAAATTCATTCTGTATTCCTGTTGTGGGGGCTCCTATAGTTTGCCAGTCGGTATCCTCTTCAGATCCACCGGAAAACATCAACTTGAGTTTGAAGAAGGAATTATTCGTCTCTGGTATCTCTTTGTAGAATACTTGTAGACATCCATTGTTCACCAACTTATTCCGCATCGCTGTCCACGATGATCGATTGCAATCTTCTTTCAAGTCATTGAAACATATCGCCATGTTCTTGACATCCTTGGGAACATTTGTATACAATACGTTATTCAAAATTGCTGTCAGAACTATGAATGCCACCCGTGACATTTTGAGGCTGGATGTGTCGTCTCTGCTCAACAGGCACCTCTACTGCTGGTACTCTTCCACAGCTGCTGAAGACTTTATCCCACAAACTCAGATTCTCCAATTGATTCAACACTCTGGTTTTATCTTCGTACAATGTTATGTCTTTGTTCATCTGTCGAACCCGCTCCCCAAATTCCTCCAACTTGCTTCTGTACTCGTCTAAGGACATTGTAACACTGATTCAGAGGTCAAGTCTGAATGGTGGTAGTGGTAGCTACGCATGCGCACAGCTGATATAAGCTATTGGGCAGATTCGGCAAACGTTCTTTGAGACACATCCAGTATCCATGATTGAATGGCTCGTGACAACAACAAGTTTGAACATGTCTGTTGGATGACTCATCGGCCACCTGCGTCAGAACAATGGTCCCATTGTTCTCACACAGATAAGGATGATGCAATCGGATGAGGTTGTTACGTAATCGGACACCTGCAAACAAAGGCGGCATTGTTCTCGTATAATATTGCGTCGCAATTTCCCAATAGCCGGAATGGCATAGAGAGAACAAAGGCGGCATTGTTCTAGAGGAAGGCTAGATAACATAATATGGCGAACAAAGGAGGCATTGTTCTATGAAGTCGAGATAAGGATGACTCATCGGCCACCTGCAACATGCATATCGGGTGACCTTGAAACAAAGTGCTACCAATTGTAGTAATACCAACCTAAATCTGGTGGGCAAAGTCACTAGATTGTGACGTCATCCACCACCTTTTAAAAATAAGAAGAAGAATGTACACGCCCATAAGCTCTAGAGTCTAGAGTCTAGGGGGCTAAGTTCAGAGTACTTCCACGTGTCATTCCTTGTGTTCCATCTCATCTGTCATCTGTCACTTGTCATCTGTCACTTGTCTGTCATCTGTCACTTGTCTGTCATCTGTCACTCTTCGTGTTCCATGCCATCTGCCACTGCTTGTGTTCCATGTCACTTGTCATCTGTCATCTGTCACTTGTCATCTGTCTTGTCATCTGTCACGTGTCATCTGTCACTTGTCATCTGTCACTTGTCATCTGTCACTTGTCATCTGTCACTTCCGGCGGCCATCTTGTGACGTCACTTCCGTGAAGCCAACACCTTTCACCACAGGAACGGTTGTGACGTCACTTCCGGCGGCGGCCATCTTGAGCTGGTAAACAGGTAGGTACACTACTGATCTATTCGAGTGATTTGTCATCTTTTTGTCCTTCACATTCAAGCCAGTTTCCTCATCAGCAGATTTAGTCCATCCATTTATAATATTTCTTCCAACAGGTACATTATCATACCATTTGTCAGTTTCATTTTTCTAGTATCGATTTCAGGAACAGTCGTTTTGACGTAATATTGTCGCCTCATTTTGATATCAGTTATGGAAAAGACGTACTGGGCAGCTTTGTATTTCACTATTGGAAACCAACCATTTACTACTAGTACAGCTTTTAGAACCACCTTGGCACGTTTTACTGAACACCGGATTGTATTCAATGCGATTTCTTGGAGAGTCTTCGATATTCTTCTCGATTTGAAAGAAATCCACCAGACAAGCAACTGCCTCTCCTCCTCGCCACGCTAATTCTACAGCAGCAATATGGAAAAACTTACTCATGAGACCTTCAGGAGTATTTTCATCCCATAGCAATACTATTTTGTTAACTTCAGACAAATTGAGCGAAACTAAACTGGACTTACGTTTACATGGATCTGCTTCTAGTTTCTTCCTGATTGCATCGCGGGCATCCCGGGCTGGTTCAAATACTATATTGTTGAACGGGTCAATCATAATATTATAGTAATCATAATACTTTTCTTGCAAAAGTTTGCACGAAACGTTCCAAATTGTCTTCACCGTCGCTTATCTATATTCGGTCCCGTCTTTCTTTCTCATATTGACTGCCCAATCTTCTAGTATCAACGTCAATTCTTCTAAGCTTCTTTGTTCATTCAATTCATATTCTCGTTCGCAGCAAAACCCCATGAACATGTCCCAAATATATTTGTGACTGTAGGTTGTATTTTTGGGAATTTTTCCTTTGATTAGCACATTTATACTTCGAACATTCGCCTTGCCAAAGCGTGACATTTTGAAATGTATTTGAAATGGAGTTGTCAAACTTGATAATTGCACTGAATTTCTTCAGTGATATAATATATAAAGTATAATTAATTTTCTAGTAGGAATGATATGAATGATCAGACAGTAATTCCTGGTATAAGATCATTCATGAAGTATTATCGACTGTTGTATAATTGAAATTACAAATAGTGAACGAAACAATCACATCATTAAGATATCTCAAAATAACAGTTATATCATAGTGAACAAGAAGGGAAAAAAACAGTGAATAAAAAAAAAATTCATAGTCTTTCAGCTTTTCTTTCAACTATGGCGAGATGAGGTTTCTACGTCATAAGAGGGTTCGTTTTCAGAAGGTACTATTATTTATGTCCAAAAATAAAACATTCCAGTTAATTTTTCGATCGAATTATGTCGTAAATCATTATTTATGTATAAAAGGATCATTATAAAAATGGTTTGAATTAAAAGTTCTACTAAGGTGTACACGCCCATTTTGTTCATGATATGGAAACCATTGCTATTTATTATGTTTTTATAATTAGTAGTAGCTTTACTGTCTGCCAAGAGATTGATATTGATATGAGAGAAATATTCACTGAAACTGAATTTGTCAGGTCACCCTCAGCATATTCATGTCTCCGGACGCTTGCCCGCGATCGGTCAGATACATTTGCGGCAGCCTGCAGAAAGCCGTGATCGCGAAATGGCCCGACGAGCGCTTCGTCCGCACGAGGGTCGTGTCCGGCTTCATTTTCCTGCGGCTGCTGTGCCCGGCCCTGCTGAATCCGCGGCAATTCGGGCTGGTGAGCGAGCAGCCATCGCCTGCTGCCACGAGGAGTTTGGTGATGGTGGCCAAGTGTCTGCAGAATCTCGCTAATCTGGTGGAGTTCGGTGGGAAGGTGAGGTTCTTTCGTTTTGTAAAATGGTTTCTTCCCGATAAGCAACTATTCAATAACTTCACCACTTTTCAATTTATGTATATAGCGGAAAAATTCGATTCATATGCCAAAATAATTGTGGAAAACTATTTCAATCACTTGTAAACAAATAAGAAAAGTGACGTTGTGTTTCAATGTTTTGCCTCCAGCGTCGGTCATCTGACAGTTCTTGCACGCAACCCATAGTTGACACTGCTGTTTTCACGTTTTTTTGTATATTAGAGTACGGACACAATGACAAGCACTGACAATCAGACATAACCACAAGTAAATTGATGGAAAAAGCGGGAACTGGCAGTACACGGACGTACATGACATAACTTTCAAAGGTTTGACAAATTGAGAGAATTAGGAGAAAGATGCAAGTTTGTGCAGTTTCCAACTGTGAGACCACGGGAAATCAATTCACTCTATTCGAATTTCCATCGGATAACGTAATTCTACAAAAATGGAAACAGAATATGATGCGGCCGGCATGGAATATAGGTTCAGGCCACAAAATTTGCGAGTTATTCAACTTAATATCGTCCTCCATTGAGGTCCTTCAGCCTTATCATTCAATATTTCGAGAAGAAATAATTTTCTAATCAATTTATCGTACCCTTTTACCCGTTGGAGGAGACGCTATGCACTTATACAAAAATTGAAGATAGAGAAAGATATATGGATGTACTCTTCCCAGGACTTGGACTAGGAAGGAAGATGCGAGGATCCTTTATCTAAGCGAAAAACATATTCTTGTCCTTGTCCGGCAAAACATATGATTTGCTTCGAAATCGTCTGTGGTTATGTTTTATTGTGACTACTTGTCTAGTGTCCGTACACTAATACAGGGTGGAGACTTTAAGTGGAATAAATTCGCTATGTCAACCTCTAAATGTATTTACCTACATTTGGCGAGCAATATGGAGAATATAACCCTTCAGGGGTAGCAGGAATCTACCCCAAAATGTTTTTTCAAGTGCAACCCTAAGGTTGCGACCCCTCATTGTAAAGCTGGTTTCAAGATGAATCCATCGTACTGATCATATTTCAGTTTGCAGTACGTTTGGGGTTCGATAACATCCAAACACAATTTCGAAGTTTAATAAATTTTTAACATATTTTCATCAAAATTTCGACTTTTAGTGACAGTGATATAGGGCATTTACACCAGTTTGTCGCAATAACACTTCGTTTCGAACTGTGAATACAGCAAAAAAAACAAAAGTTATTTTTGGGGCTCTATAAAAACACGGGAATACAATAGCAGACAGCAATTCTATAAAAAAATTGCCATCAATTATTCAACACACATTTTGAGCGATTGATACGTTGAAAAAAAATTAATTTCAAGTTTATGCAATCTTTAAACCTATGAAAAACTAAAAGACTAGTATGCTGAATTCCTCTTTTCACCAGCTTTCCAATGAAGGGTAACAAGCTGTAGGGTTTCATTTGGAAAAATCATGCTGAGGGTTGTTTCAGCTACCCCTGGAATGATATATTCTTGAAAATGCTTGCAAAAGTGGGTAAATATATTGAATCGTTGTCGTATGTCGGGAATTTCCAGAAAAAAAAACACCTCCCCGCTAACGAATTTATTCCAGTTTGAGTCTCCACACTGTATGCGAAAAACGTCAAAACATCAGTGGCTAGTACATTTAGGAACTCAGCTAATAAGCGCTACATGTCGCCTAACCAACGAATTTCATGAATCATCGTTAACCCGACCCCTGTCCATCAGGAACCCTACATGGAGGTGGTCAACCCGTTCATTCTCAAGAACAAGGAGCGCATGGTCGTGTTCCTCGACCAGCTGTCGATGGCGGGTGATCCGGGCGAGCCACGGCCGCCTGCCCAGCCCGACCCCGCCAAGGATTTGGCCACCCTCCACCACATCTGCGTCGCTCATCTGCCCGAGCTGCAAGCGGTGGGCAAGGTGAACGCTAACGTCAAGACCTTGGTCACTGTCACTGACATGTTGGGGAAGCACAAGCAAAAGTACCTCGAGATGATCAGATAGTAGAGTTGATGGTGAGTTTCAAAGAGATCCAAAGACTAGAGACATTGATAAGACGCAATGAAAACCGATCTGTTATTGCTTGGATATATGCGACTAGTACGAGAGAGACAACTGCACGGCGGCGGATGTTTAGCACCAACGCATGTTTGATGACGTTGGGCGCCAATTCAACAAACTATAACATAACCTCACTCACCGGTTAGAAGTCGAATTTGTATTCAGATGATCCACCCTTTTGCATGAAATACCTACACAACTGCACCATGATTCACAAAATATTGTTCATGCAATTGAAGGAAAAGATATGGAAAAGGTTGATCAAACGATGACTGATCGGGCAAAACCGTACACACTACGAAAAATATTGAACGCGAAAACAGGCGAAGCGATGTCCTTGTCTTCATTGTTCCAACGTAAAATAATGTGAATTTTATGTTGATAACATTGGAAAATGGGAAAAATTGAGGAGAAGATCATATTAACCTCAATATAAAAAAGGTTCGAATGGTTTTCTTTCCATTTCCAGTGTTGCCAACATGAAATTTTCATTATTTTAACTATTATTTGTGATTCTTGGGATATTTATTCGTTAAAGCATTCCATTACATTGTTCTGTTGTACAATGCACAAAAAATGCATCGAGAGACGAAGGAATAAAAATTTCTCAGGTAAATTGTGATCTATAAGTATTGTCGTCACTCACATAGTTTTCATTTTAAAACTTTATCACATCTTTTTATAATTTCCTTCTGCAATGGGAGCAAATAGAGGTATGTAGGTAGGTAGGGAGTTAGGTTGTCTTTTAATAATAATAATAATAATAATATAAGTTTATTCAAAAACGTTTACAAAATATACATTGAAATAAACATAAAGGTAATTTGAATAAACTGGGAAAAACCTTACGAAGTTAACCTTGTAGTAAGGATAAAAAATAAATAAATGTACATAGGTCAATAAATGTTTTACAGAAAAGTGAGGTTGTGCTTCAATATTTTACCTCCAGGGTCGGTCATCGTGCACGCGACCTATATATTTCAACAAATAAAAAGAGGGAGGTTTAGTGAGATTGTGATAATCTCAGAATCTCTAGACTAAGAGATTCTAGGGAAATTTAGTGAATCGATTGTCAGCTGATGCAAGACAGACTGTTTCGACTTGCCATAAGTCTCATCAGTTGCACTGGCCAGTTGACAATCGATTCACGAAGGGTACCTCCATATATCAAACAAGTCGAAGCCCTGAGGGGGCAGAAGGACGATCTAGCCTTCATAGCCATCTAGTGGCTTAAGTGCAAGGTGTATAGGTAGATTCATCAATCATACCTTGCTACTAAGTCGTGCATATAGACCCCTACGTCTATATGCTTACAGAAAAGACATGCATGTCAGATTCTGTTGACTATCGCAACACCTGTAATTCTCAAAGTGGTTTAATGTTCCACTAACAGATGGTGATAATCCTAGAATCCCAAGACTAAGAGATTCTAGGGAAATTTCTAGGACTATCACCATCTGTTAGTGGAACATTAAACCACTTTGAGAATTACAGGTGTTGCGATAGTCTACAGAATCTGACATGGATGTCTTTTCTGTAAGCATATAGACGTAGGGGTCTATATGCACGACTTAGTCGCAAGGTATGATTGATGAATCTATCTATACACCTTGCACTTAAGCCACTAGATGGCTATGAAGGCTAGATCGTCCTTCTGCCCCCTCAGGGCTTCGACTTTAGTGAGATTGTTGTCATCCAGGGTCGGTCATCTGACATTTTATACATGTGACCTATGGAATGCTCAAAATGGGTATAGTATATCCGATATCAATTGCAGAATATCCCGCACTCTGCGGCGTCGGCGTATCTGAAGTTTCCTTTGAAGTGACTGCAGGTGCGGCACAAGATTCTGCAATTGTTTTTGGATAAACTTTAACCATTCATTTGTTATGTTAGGTTAGGACAAAATGGATATATTGTGGTGAAATCACTGTTTTTATTTTGTTTCAGCCAAAAAACAACGCAGATGGTGCAAGAGTATCAAGTTTCCCGGAAAATGGCAACTTTATTCCCCATTTATTTATCAATCTCAATTAGTTGCTAGATGATTTATGTTGAAATTATTTTGCAGAAGAATCATTTGGAAAAAACATTTTTTTTATGTTCATTTTTTGGCACCTTCACACATACAAACATATTTTATGTATTCAGATTTTATCTACAGGGTTTTAGATTATTATTATTATTATTATTACAATTTGATCTCTATCGGAAATTCACGTAGCTTCCTTTTTTTGTCTTCAGGGTTTCAATATAAAATTTCGAATTAATATATTGCATTGCATTAAATGAATGTCATTGCAAAATTCGGTAAAATTGCATATATCATACGATGGTTTTTTTTTTGATAATGAAAATGTGAACAAACCACTATTTATCGAGATATATCAAGAAAAAGTTCGAAATGTCGCCTTCTTTTTCCCCTTATGTTGGATGCATTTACAGCTACTTGCTCTTCTTATTTTGTCATTGGACACTTTATATACTCATCATGTACTTCAATGACACATTTTTATATAGAAAATTCAACAAGAAATTTGATTTTATGGCGAGTTTTTCATATTTAGTGAACAAGCATACCAGATGACGGCCATTTGATCAATAGTCTATCCAAATACGAGGTGTCAAATTTCAACAGATTGCTTTTGAATGACATTACACACGCTATATTTTATATGATATTCTTCATTCTTTTCACTTCACTAACTTTATAGTGAAACATCCTTATAAATAACCAAATTCGTGTTTTTCAGACAAAAATACGTAAGTACCAAAAAAAAATTTCGAAAAAAAACCCATCGCATGATAAATGTATCAGTTTTACCCAATATTCAAGTAAACAAAAATATATTATTTGTAGTATTGCACAATACTCAGTATACCTATAGTAGTTATGGTTGAAACCCTGAAAAAACAGGACTGTTTTATTTTGAAGAATTAATCAGTATTTTATGTAACAGGTAAATTCTTTGTTTTTTACGAATGAAACTTGACTGCATATTTTCGTTGATAAGACTGTCAAAATGAATACTAATCTAAGTCAGTAGAATGCTTGATACCGTGTAGTTTGATAGAAGTGGCAAAGTAGTTATGTTTGAAACTGTAATTGACAGCCAGTCACTTCTTTATGCAAATAATTGATAATTTTGTCTTAGGTTAAGTCTTGATGATTGATTTTTCATATTTTTTTATTTTTTGTTTTTATGAATTTAATTTTACAACACTCATCCTATACCTAGCTACGTCACACACAGAACAAAATATTTATTATTTAAACTGTCGTATTTTGAATTACTGTGTGAATGCCATTTGAAACAGATATTAACCATTTTGTTTTGGTATTTTTATATAAAATATTTTAAACAATGTAGATATACCGTACAAAATTATCTATCATATATTCCATTTTATCAAAATATACACTCAAAGTCAATTTCCACTGAATAAATATTATGTCGACTAAACGGAAATTTTTTGTGATGTCCAAATCTAGTGATGTACACAGTTTATCATCATATCCAACTTTTTGTCACAAAAATAAAAACAAAAAATGTATTGATCCTTCCATTTGAATAAGTACAGGTAGCTTTGAGAGAAAAGATCTAAAAACTCCATGTTTTTGACAAAAAATGAGGAAATGGAGCAGAAGTCTACCATTCTAAACTTCTTCTTCGTTTCTTCTCACTTTTTGTGTCACCAACATGAAATATCTCCTCTTCTACGTTGGTCCCTGAAGAGAAGGACAGAAAGGAAAGACAATTTTTTTCTCAAAACTAGCTGAGAGCATTCTTTGATCAAATATTTGCAACTCTGGAAAAATTGAATCTCCGTTTTTACTTCCAGTCAATGAACGCTGTTTAGTACTTTGACCCTATATAGTTATTTGGTGCTTGTATCACCCTATACAAAATGACACTTGATTTATTGTTAACATGACGACGAACATATTGGTCCTTCGAACCGGATTAATGTTTGTTCCTCCCAAAACGCTTGACCGCAGATTCCGCAATAATGGCACATTAGTTCTCAGTTGTCTGCAAGATGACGACACTTTTTACAGATTTCTCTCATGACAGAAAACAGAAAACGGCGTTTACACACCGCTTGCACCAGACATAACATTGATAACATGACCTCAAGATGAGATTAAATTTGAAAGTCCGAAACTGTTATTTTAGGGAATCATTTATCATCAGTTCTGCCATCTAACGGGTAGAATGTGACCTATATTCCGCGATATTGAAATGAATCCTTCAGTCAAGTAGGCCGTAGGTCAAGAACTTTGACCGAAAAACAGTAGATGGATTTGATAGAAGTTTCTCCACTACATCTTCTGTTCATCCTGATTAACTGATAACTATTTGGCAATCACTGGATTTGGATGTCGCAGAGTGCGCACACGAGATAAGACTATTTTGAGGCTTCTGGCACAAAAAAACAACTTTATTTTGAGAAATTTATACTCTAACCCAAATTTCTTCATCAAAATTGTATTGTGAATTGTAGATTTTTTTATATGTATCTCAATTGTAGATCATTGTATACTATCCCTTGATATGTACTTTTATATTAAAATGTTATCTAAGAATTTCTTGCTTCATTTCATACCACATACCAGAACAGCATAATAATTCCTATAACATATTATATGAATGGTTATTTTCAATTAAAACAAAACAAACAAAATTAGAATTTTCCAAGAGTTGATATATATTAGCAAAGAGATGACACCTGATTGATATTAATTAAGATTGATTGATGACCAACAATAAATATCAATCAAATGATAATCACCACATACGGAAGAAAAATTTACCACATATGTTGGCTGATAAGATATTATTGAATTCTTCTTCTTACATACTTCTGCTCTCCTGATACTCACCTAAATTAAGATTTTCACCTTCAAAATCGGAATTTTCGTGATCCATCGCAAATTTTGGTTCTAA